GTAGCCGGATAACGGTTTCAGGCTACGCAAAAGATTTTCAGGCAAGAGATGCTTGCTGCCCACTTGTAGTAGCCGTTTGGCGGCTTTATGATAAACAGTATCAACATGGTTATAACGGATAGCATTCTCGCACATCAATTTAAAATCGTCGGTGAATTCTGTCAGAGTACCGTACTCGCTATCATCTATTTTTTGACGTATTGTTGAGAAATCCATAGGCTTAGTAATTATTGACGAATAGCCGGGAGCTATATCATCGGTGACAGGCCAAGCAAAGAATTGGTGGGGATCTCTTTTTTTCCAAAAAACGTAGTAAATGATCTAATAACTTATTCAGAGGCGATTTTTGTTGTTTAAGCTTAAGTACACAAGTGCGAGGTTCACGGCCAGATTCGCTTGATGAACTTGGCGTTTTTGGTGCCTCTAATTGTTTCGGTGTAAGTGCCGCTAAAGAACTTGTGCCACCCGGTGTGGAAGCTGCAGTCGAAGCTGATGGCGACGGAATGAGAAGCTACAAAAAGCGATAGTTAAAAAATACATTCAATAGCACAACCGAAATAACTTGTAGCACTTACATCAGGCAAAGGTTTGGTTGGACTACTAACTCCTAAAGCACCCACACCCAAAGATGAAGATTGTAACGATGATGATGCCGGTGAATCTAGTAGCATATCGTCAGTTTTTCGTGGTACAATGGGCTTTGAGACCGGACGACAAGATGGCGAATTATCTGTGGTTATGCCAGCATACAGAAGTATATTCTCCGGTAATGGCTGTGAATCGCCATCTTCCATAAAGCTGAAACCATCTTGGCTGGAATCACCATCTATTACAGGTGGAGGCGCCACATTTCTCGGGCTGCGTTGTACTGTCGAAATCGTAGCCGGTGGTATATCTTCCAGTTTAATATTTTGGTTTGGCACTTCGACAGAAGCATCTCGTCTTTCGCCACCACTAGTCTGCTCATGACGCTCGCTGCGGTGACGTTTTTCTTTATGGTGTTTATGTTTCTTTTCACGATCCTTCTTTTTCTTCTTCTTTTTAGATTTTTTATGCTTTTCACCATAATACTCTTCCGCTGGCGGAAGGTCATCAGCTACAGGACTACTTGGCGCAGCAGACATCATTGCCTCTGCTGCAGTAGGTGGACCCGCAAGCGGCGAACCACCGCTGTATTCAGGTGTGGAATTGGAGCCTACTTTCAAAATTAGTTTCAAGCCGCGCTGCAGTTGTGAAGGGTCCATATTATTGCTATACTCTGTAATAAATATGGGTTTAATCACGAAAAAGGATTAAAATAAGACTAAGAATAATGTAAACCTTCATATTTTTCACGTCGTTCAGATTTGTGTTTCTTGTGTTTTTTTGAGGATCCCATATTTTCTTTTGTAACTAAATAGACGCTGCCGCTTTCTGATGTATAAATTATTTACTATACGCGATTTTCAAGCAATTAAAATATTAAAAAACATATTATAAACCCAGACGCTTCCGCATTAAAGCTGATGCCAGATAAAACTTTGTAGCTTTGCGTGACATTTATAACTTTGCCAGCAAAGCGCCAGACGCAAAAGGTATGCCACAATGAACGCCAAGAAAACAATGTTGTACCGCTTTTTTACTCATCAAAGTTGCTGTGGATTTTAATTATTTTGATTTAAAATTATCAGCAATGTAATTAAGTTTTATGTTTCTGCATGAAAACCCGAATTTGGACGAAACAAAATAAATATTAAACCGGCTGATTGTCAAAGCGCGCAAAAAGATGGGAGTTGACCATCTTTTCGCTTCGCGCTGCCGCTTCAACGATTTATGTGGCATGCTTTGTGCATTTTCATACAATTCATCTTATCTGTCAAAGCGAATCTGTCACGTAAAGCGAAGCAAAAGTTTTATGTGACATCAGCTTAACGTTTTTGTAAATTTTTTGACAGTTTTCTCCATTTTTTATTTTTTGCCAGGTAGCTTTGTTTTTCATTAAGTGCTGTTAGACGTGGCAAGACAAAAATATTTCGAAAAGGCTACCAAATTGAGATATTTCAAAAAGCAATTGAACCCTTGCAAACCGAAATGCGAATTGACGGAAAATTTTATGAATACGCTCTTTGGTTTTTCACACTTTTCGGTGATAAAAAGTTCTTTCTGGCTCATGATTCAATAATACAAGGTTCGATAAACTGACAGTTGTCCCTCT